CGCAATGCCAATATTTATTGAGCAATACCATGTGTTAGGCAATATATTAATATAATGACATATTTTATTATTTTATTTAATTGTTATAATAACTCTGTGAACTAAATATTGTTATCCTGATGTTTAGATAAGAAAGTTGAGAGAGTTTAAAAAACTTGCCAAAAATTCTACAGCTAATGATTGATAGTTGGGATTCAAAGCTAGATTTTTCTAATTCCAAAATCTGTTTTCCTTCACCATTATAATCATAGTAGGGTCTCAAAGGAAATTTGCTATATTCATGAGTAAAATAATAAATGAGTACAAATGAATAAAGGAATATAATAAATGAGTAAAAATGAATAAAGAAATATATATATATTCCTGTTCTGTAGAACCTTCTAATTTTTTAGATTAATATCAGTTGCTCCTATTTATTTATTAATTCAAATTTGATAAACATAGCTTTGTTTCATTTTATATAAGCACAAGTATTCTCATTTAGCAAAACGGAAAAATGGGTCTCAAAGTTCTCACAACTATGAATTAGAATTTATACCCAGATTGTATTTCTCTACGGTTGATATTCTTTGTTACATACACTGCCTTTCTGTAGAAGTCATGTCTACATTGTCTTGATGATAATAAATATTAAATAATGTATTATAATTTTACTTAATATTATAATGACATATTAAGTACTAAAGCTTTGGTAGCAAATGTTCAAAGCTAAAGTATGATCTCATTTAACCATCACAACAGCTGGACGAATGGAGGCTGTTGCTCATTTTATAGATGAGGAAACAGATTTAGAGATATTAAGGAATTTGCCAAAGTCATACAGATGATAAATGGTAGAACTAAAAGAGGAACAGAGTACTACTTCCTTTTAAATTCTGCCCTAAAATACTAATGGATGGCACCATCTCTCATCTGTCACCATTTGAGGCAATATTTTTTGTTTACTTGGTTTTTTTATCTATCTCCCCCAGTAGAATATAAAAACTATGATAGAGGGACTTACTCTTTCTCGAAATCCTAGATCTTGGGATAGTACCTGCTACAGCATAACTTGATTTTTTTTAGATGAATAAATACATTAATCTTTCCTAAAAACCACAGATATTCTCCTTTGTGATTTAAATCTCAAGTGTCTAAGGGCTCCTGGGTGGCTCAGGTGGTTCAGTTGTCCAACTCTTTATTTTGGCTCAGGTCATGATCTCAGGGCTATGAGAAAGAGTTGCTTGATGTTAGCTATAATTATTATTTTCCTACCTACTGTTGTATTTTCCATAGAATGTTATAACACAAAGATACATCTGTCATTTTACAGTATTATCCCCTATCCTTCCAGCTTTATCAGTGAAAGAAAGGATGCAGCCAAAAGCAAAGTGGGTCTTGGAGCAATTATGATGCTTACTTTCATGAGCCTTCTTGACTGGAATAGTGATTTGTAAAGTACTTGTGTTTACTAAGACCATCTTACTCATATTTTGCAGACATTTTAAAAACAATTCTCTGTTTTGAGGCTTTCAACCTATAGCTAATAAAGGAGATTGTTTTTAAACACTCCATGTTCTAGGAGCTGAGCCAGAGAACTTACATTGGACTGTTTTATTTAATCTTTGCAAACCACTGTGAGGAAGTATATCAGTTTTTTATTGCTGTATCTAATTACCACAATAGGCTTAAAACAATACAAATTTATTTTCTTACAGCTGTGGATGTCAGAAGTCCTGAATTGGTTTATAAACTGGAATAAAATCAAGGTATAGCAGGCCTGGACCTTGTGGAGAGAATCTATTTCATTTCTAGAGGTAGACTCTATTTTCTGGCTTGTGGCTCCTTTCTCCATCTTCAAAGCACATCACTCCAGATCTGCTCCCATCTTTTTATCTTACTTACTCCCACTTATAAGGATTCTTAGATTACATTGCGTCCATCTGGATGATCCGGGATAATCACATATCAAGATCCTTAATTTAGTAACATTCACACATTCCCTTTTAACATGTATAGTAACTTATTCACAGATGCTGGGGATGGGACTTAACATCTTTGGGGGCAGGGAGTTTCAGCCTACCAGAGGTAGATACCATTACACTCATTTTGCAAATGAGAAAAAATAAAAAGTAGTGATTATGAACTCTTAATACACTGAGAAACAAAATTCAAAAACTAACTTACTCAAACTCACAAAACTTAAAAGTGATCACCAACATACTAATGTAGGTCTTTCTGATCCTAATGCTGTTTCCACTACACAATTCTGTCCCTGAAGTAGGAAAAAAGACAAAGATGTGTAGATTTTTTCATTTTCTTTTTGAGTTAAAATATTTACTAAATGTTTATTGAATGGCTACTATACCAGTTTTCGGTGCTAGGAAGAAATATGAATCAGACTGAGTTAGTAGCTAGGTAATCACAAATTTTCCTATATATTTAAATACCTATAACTCTTCAGTCTATCTTGAGAGTCCAAACCAAATTCAACTACCTAACTGAAAGTTTCACTGCCATGTTCGATAAACCTTTGCAATTTGCCATGTCTGGAACTGAATTTTTTTCTACAACTATGTTCAATCCCTCAGTCTTCACCAGCTCAGGAAACAGCAGCACCACACTCCCCCACAACTGATCAGTATTCAGATGCCTATATTTATCTTAAAAATATGTCCTAATCCTATTTACTTCTCCTTTTTTTCATTACCCCCAGACTTCTGACTGGTAGCTTCATTTCCATTCTCGGATTGCCTTGATCTCACCTCTATACATAAACCGGCATGATCTCGTTAGAACATAAAATACTTCAATACCTACAGTGTATTTATAATAAAATCCAAACTTTTCATGCCACACAGGGTTACCACACATCTGGTTCTGTTTAGGACATTGATGTGCCTGCTGTCTTGGTGGAACTAGTGATAGAGCCTTCTTTCACTCCTAAAATTGTCCCAGTTGGATGATAAATTACACGGTTCTTGTGGAATTTTTAGTCTGCCTAAATTTTCCTCCCATAAGCAAACTCTTCTCTCCTAGGACTCAATAGGGTCTGCCTTAAGTCTCTCCTGTAATTATTTTTCTTCAAAATCTGAACCAAAGAATTAAGTATAATCCTATACTTAATTGTTTTATCTGTTGACTGTTACGCCGTTAAAGACAACCAGGCCCACGTCCATGATATTTGCCCCTAAACACTTTAGGCAGCATAATACCTGACACATGGAAGGTGTTTACAGGTATTTATTAAAAGGTTAATGACTAAATAAACTTGCCATATAGTCAGATAGTTATATAAACACATAGTATAACATTTACATAATAAAAATGTGTTCAAGATACCAATGACCAAAACCAGTACAGAAGCAGGAGAAGTTGCTTCTGTTTGAAGAAAAGGTTGAGTAGGGAAGGTGCTGTAAGGGGAGGAAGCCCAATCAGTGTTGATGGATGGAAAAGATCATGTTATGTGATCAAGAAGCTATGAGGAAAGATTTCTAAGTAGAAAGGCTGGCATTCACAAAGGCAAAATGTTTTAAAACAGTGTGATTATTCTGGGAACTCAAAGTAGTTTCTATTATTAGGGTGTACAGCCTTGCATAAATGATATATTAATGTCATGAATCCCTAAGGACAACACCTAAATTATGAAGAAACCTGCAGGAAACAGAACAGCAAAGGAATTTGAAACTTAGTTTTGTTTTCATCTATAGTGCTAGGATGATTTGAAAATTTCTATTGCCTGTTTAGCTCACCTTATAATTCATAAAAGTTTAGATATGTAAATCAGTTTTTGAAGAGTTGTATTTCAAACTTCATTACCATAAAAAATCCTCTAAGTTGTGACTTTGTTATATAAGTGTCAAAAAATTATAAAAATGGTCCATAAGGAAACTATAACGAGATTTATGGTATATAAAACTAAACTGGGCTTTTCCCTCAGATAATTTTTTGGGGTTAACATTTCTACTTTGGGAAATGAGTTTTCATTCATTCTTAGACTGTAAAAAGAAATAGCCTAGAATTACTAAATTAGCATTTTGGCATTTATATTATACAAATGCAAAGATGAACACATCTGTAGAATGAACCACACATTAGGTCAAATTTTGATGTAAATAAAAGTTGAAATAGAGAATTAAAACTTGTCTCAGATCTATTTACCTAGGAGAAAATTTTCAAGAAATATTCTTGGTATAGATAATCATATATGGGTTCTTTGAATATCAAAAATGTACACCAGAAGTTTCACACTGGTGGACAGCGGGACATAAATGCTTTGTTTGGCTTCCAGAACAATTCAAAAGTTTGAGCCAAGATTTAAATTTGGAGAAGTCACATAAAAAAAAAAAAATCCAGAATTCTGGCCCCTCTGAAAAACTGGAAGAGCACATAACTCTGGTGGGAAAAAACCACAGTCCTATAGAGGGCAGTAGGTGTCCTCTAGCCCACTACACAGCCACGTCCCCATCTCCCCAGGTGCTGAGATCCATGCCACTTCCCTTATGTATGTCACATGCCATGCCTTGTACCAAAACACCCCAACCATTAAAGACTAATGGAGAATTATCAAAATGTCTAGGAAAATATTTAGAACTTGATCATCTGTAATACTGAGAACTGAATGTACATACCATCTTAATAAAATCCTCTAAAAATGGAACAATTCAGAATTCAATCTTGGCTTTCTTGGATTTTGTTTGTTATTTAGATTATATAAAAAAAATTAAAAAGCCAATCAAATTTGGTATAACATTTTTTTTTTTCTCCTGACCAGTAAGCTATTTGTTTTGGCATCTGGTCCATATAACACAATTAGCAGTAAAATAATCCAAAGATGTTTAACATGTGTTTAATCTGTGCTTTGAATGCAAAAACTTCCATATACCTTCCAATATAGCAAAAGTAATTTATTTTATTTAAGTATATTAAAAGACTAGACATGTTTTCAATATCCATACTGTTCTAGAATGGGAGAAAGAAAGCCAGGAGAGTTATTTCCATGGGAAGTGATGGGCACTTACCTTAGCTATCTGGACACACCAGTTAAGCAGAAGCTGGGATCCAATGTTATCCTTGTGTTCATGGACATAATCCAACAGGCAGCCATGGGGCATAAGCTGTGTAACCAGCTGAATGGTTGGGCTCAGACACACACCCAATAACCGGACTAAGTGTGGATGGTCCATACTTGCCATGATCAAAGCTTCCTATAAAAAATTAATAAATAACACCATCATTTCAACTCATATTTCTTTATAGCACGATATTAATGGTGCTGATCATAATTTTGAAAATGTACTCTCATTCAATGGAATCAATTAAAAATGAAAAGACATTAATGCAGCTATTATATTCTTAAAGTGATTTAGCTCAAGTAAAATTAAGTGAAAAAGACTATACTTTTGTTAAAATGGAAAATGTTATAGAATTAAATGCATATAAAATTAATATTAGTGTTTTCTCTTTTGTAATATGGACAATATTTGATTTTTTTACTGCTAAGTTAGTTGATATTGAATCCTAGCTTATACTGTGGATTTTTAACTTTTGATCTTTAGTTCTAGAATACAATAATCTATACAAGTGCAGTTATTTTCACGTAGTATAAGGTGACCCAAAGTTAAGTCATCCATTATTAGTGTGGATTTAGAGAGCATACACAGGTGTAATTTATAAATTATAAATATCAAAATTTAAACAATTATAAGCAATATGCCATTGTGGATTTATGTAGAAAAATAAACCTTTTAATAAGACATTTTGCTCCATAACTTTGTCTTTACTCAAATTTATTTCATTTCCAAAATTGTAAGTGATGTATTATTCATAGAATTATAAAATTTGAAAGCTAATTGAGACTATAAAAAATTGTCTACTCCAACTTTATCATTTCATAAAATGAGAAAACAGCTCTAATTTCTTTATCATAATCATGTCACTTTGGTTTAATGAAGATAAAATTGGACATATGATAGTTATTTAGTACATCTTAAAGTTAGCCTCCAATTAAAAGTTATTTTAAGTATCTTTACTGCAATTTGAAACAGATAGGACCTTACACACACACACAGGGAGTGGCACATATATGGCAATTTATTTATTTATTTATTTATTTATTTTTAAGATTTTATTTTATTTATTTATTTGAGACAGAGAGAATGAGAGAGACAGAGAGCACATGAGAGGGGGGAGGGTCAGAGGGAGAAGCAGACTCCCTGCTGAGCAGGGAGCCCGATGCGGGACTCGATCCAGGGACTCCAGGATCATGACCTGAGCCGAAGGCAGTCGCTTAACCAACTGAGCCACCCAGGCGCCCCTATATGGCAATTTATTATCAATCAGTTTACACTGAAGCCATGAGAATGTTTATTGTAGCATTCTTGAATATTTTCTGTAACTTTGAAATTTTTCAAAACAAAAAATTATGCACAGAAAGCTACATTGACCTTTTGTTTAAGATGGCATGGCAGATTGAATACACAAATTTACTTCCATTTCCTCTCAATTCCACTATACTAGCAATAAAGGAATTAATCAAGAGGCAGACACCAACAGTCATAGAGAGGAGGCAATAAAGATAGAATAATAAGAGTAGGAATTGGCTTACTAGTTGTAACTAATTTTGCATATGTATGACATCTGAAGCCTAATGTAGCAGGTAGGGAAACAGAGAAGAAATCCAATTTACACCACATGTGTATACCACCAAAGGCTCAAGTAGTGTTAGCACCACAAATTTCTGCAAATGGAGCAGGAGGGAGAAACTTCCGTTAGTAGGATTGTTTCAAAGTGTATTTAGGAGGCACCTAAGACTACAGATCTCCTCCCCTCCATCAAAAGGATTGTGGACTATGGATATTAGGCAAAATGGAAAGAGAAGTACTCTGGTGAAAACAGTAGGGTTATGTAAATTTATATATGGAGAAAATTGGGGCCACCTTCCAGTTCCTTCTCCCAAATGGAGCTATGACTTCAAAATTCTGAAGCTTAAATTGTTTAAACCTCAAATTCCAAATCCAACAAAATTTCAGTTAAGTGAGTGGATATACAGACATGTTCAGGCATGTCTGTTCTTAAACAACTTATCTCAGGGGGTGCCTGGGTGGCTCATTCAGTTGAATGTTGGACTACTAGTCTCGGCTCAGCTCATGATCACAGGGTCATAAGATCAAGCCTGGCATTGGGCTCTGTGCTCAGCAGGGAGTCCGCTTGAGATTCTCTCCCTCTGCCCCTCCCCCATTCATGCTCTCTCTCTCTCTCTCTCTCAAATAAATAAATCTTAAAAAAACCCACAAACTCATGTCACATACTTCCTTTCTCTGTTAGATGTGTTCATTAAGTAAGAGGGGGCGTTAAAAGAGTACATTTAATTAAGGAAACAAAAAATGACAGTGAAGGGATATTCCAGAATAAAAGCAGTACAAGAGACCAAGATAGCAGTCAGTCCAGAATGGAGTGGGACATATTGATCTGGAAAAGGTAATCCAAGAAGATGGAAATGATAGAATACTTAATGAGCTTAAAATACATTAAGGGTATGTATATTTAGCAGATGCTGAAGGTCAAATTAGGATTGATGCACAGAAACCTAAGCAAAGGTAAAATGAAGAAATTGATTTGATGTAAAGTACAAGACATACACAAGTAAAGAAAATCATGTATTTACTATAGAGCATGGCTGGGAATAGTTACATAAGCATAAGGACATAAATACAAAATGTTGATATAAGCAAACACCATACGACTATCCTGGAAAATGAAGGGAAGGGAAGTAGACTATACTTCTGCAAGGGGATAATGGGAAGAAAGTGAAAGGTACATTCCTGTTGTTCATAGTGACAAGTTAGTGTATGATGCATAAAATGGAAAAATCAAGAGTTGACAGGGTAAGCATAATATTTAGATACAGGGTTAAATGAAAAAAATAAATTGCTGAGAAATTGAAAGTGATTACTTTGGGCAATGGAAAACAGGCAGGAAATGGAATGGAGAGTCACTCTAGACTTCTGTCTTTTACTATTTGCCTTGCAGACGTATTTGACTTTTATTATTACCTTAGAGCTATTTGAGAGGACATTATTAATTTTTAATCTCCACTACTATTTTAGTGGTGTTGATTTCAGCTGAGTCTAAAGATTATTGACAATTATGGTATATGTCTGATGGAGTATATGGAGTTACTGGATCCAGTCAGGGTCCTAGGTGCAGTATAAACTTTTACTTTTTTCAGTAAGGAAGAGTGGGGCAGAATGGGCAAGTGTCTTTGAGAAAGAAGAGATATAAGGCCAAACAGAAACAATAAGCTGGTAAAACGGCGTCGGCCCGATTCAAAAGACTGTTTTTGAGCCTTTGTGGGCAGAAGCTGAAATTGTTGTTTTCCAGATGGCTTTCAAGTAGATGCTGCAATTCCCCCCTCCTCAGTGGCCCCAGGGAGCCAGAGTCATAGAACAGGAGAGAACACCAGTTTCTGTGCTTCCTTGCTGAGCCAACCACAGCAACCCCTGAGGACTAGCAGCCCAGGGAGCACTGAGGGGCATCACCTCTGGCAAGGATACTGGCATCCTTAGGTAGTACCAGTCAACAGTGGTACCAGCTGATGATGCCAGGGGGAGAAGAGATGCTCCATAGGGGGGCCAGGCTGGTAAGGAAGAACACTGCAAATATCACAGGAGGACTGGGACTGGGACATTGGTTTATAGGTACATATGAGGCACTCAGTAAGTGCCCAAACTATATGGGGAGACTTCTTTAGGGGTTTGAGTTTCTGTGTAATCAGCAAAGCCAGAAATTTGAGTTATTACTATGAATATGGCCCCATTTGGATCCAAAGGGTAGAAATATTTTGGTTTTACTTGCTGTATATTTTAGCAAACATTTGAAATAAAGCAAATCAATGTAGTTATAAGGAGAGTACAGATAAGAATGTGAGCCAAGTAATATTGTATTGTTATTAATTAATTAATTATTAACATTAATATTGAAAGTATAAACCAGAGGGCTCCTTCACTGAATTATGATATGCACACATATATACATATATACACCAACAAATAAGCAAAACATGTAATCAAACTAAATATCTAATTTAATAAAGTACCACATTAGATATTATCTAATTAAGTTAAATTTATACTGATTGCATTTTCTCCATTTCTCTTCTGGTGGCTCTCAGTCTCTTATGAGCCTAAGAGTCACCTAGGTTTGTCATTACAAGTAGCTATCCTGGCCCCACTCCCTGATAATCAGGGCTAGAAGTAGATCAGGAATCTGCATTTGTAGCAAGCTCTCCAGATGAAGCTACTGTAGGATATATGAAAATTAAGGACCTCTGGAATATTGCCATAAAATATATCTATAATCTCGTTGCAAAAATCGTAATTTGCAGTTGTAGTTTGATCCCCATTATAACACTAGAAGCAGTCAAAGGACGTAGTAATTCTCAGGTGTAAAAGGAGAAAACCAAAAGCTGGGTGGGCTTACTGCCCGGGTTATATTTGATAAGTACTAGGATCAGGTTTAAGATTCAGGATTTCTGATTCTTAGTGCAGTTGCTACTTCTTATGATACTGAACTTCATAAATTTCAGTTCCATCAGCACTTGGCACTGTAGCACTGTTAACTTATCTTGTTAACAAGAAGACAGCTCCAAACACCTGATATTAGTTGTATCTGAAGAATTGGGTCAAATTATACTTTATTTCCTGAGGAGCAACTAAAATCAAACAACAAATTTGCACTAACAGGTAAACAGCCATCACTTACAATATGCTTTCAGAAAAAGCCAAAGGAAACATATTTCTCTGATTTCCTGAGAGTATTATTTGGTACAGACCATTTCTTGAGAAAGAAAATGATGAAATTTAAAGTAAAAGAAAGATTTGGAGGTTATTTCAGGCTTCTTTTTCAGTATGAAATATATAAACAATTTTTTTTTTCTTTTACAACTCAAGGAGTGATGATAATTCCATTCTAAATATGCATGTGAAAAGTTTACATCAGAAGAGCGTAAAAAAGTCACATGAAAGTTCTCTTTAAAAAAATCTATTAGTAAGTCCTGGCAAAAAAGCTGGGGTTGTATTAAGGAAAATTGCTCATCACACTACAAAGAGTATTTGAAACCAAATTGCAGAGTATTTGCATAATAGTTCTCTTTTTTTGAGAAAGAAAAGATGAACAAGACACTAATTGTAGGTTTTATTTTTTTTCA